GAATGATAATAGACAAATATTAAAGTATCTCGTGGCTTGTTTTTTTGTGTTTTTCTTTGACACTTTTTATTTAAATACTAAAATGTTTGTGAACAATATAAAAATTAAAGTTTACAACGGATTTCGATATATAAGCTCAAAAATTTCGGGACAACATTATTTTTCGAATTGTCCCGATCCCGTTTGTCCCGTCCCGAAAAATTTTCGGGACAGTTCTGTTTATCCCATGGGACGGGACAAACGGGATTTTTCGGGATTCGGGACTGTCCCGCAGGACTCTAGTTGAATCTTATGAGCGTTTCAATAATGAATATTACACTCATCTCATACTGACAATTTGTTTGTGAGTTCGATAAAGTCACGTTATTTCAACCGACTATTGTTCAGCTTTGTGAGATGTTATATTTTTCATTTAAAGTTTTTTTTAAATATTTCTATCAACTATGTGTCATGTGTACACATTTCTCGTTTAACGAAAGAAACTCATTTGTTGACTTAATCGAAAATATCTGAAAAAAATGAAATTAGATACACAAAAGAAGTAAAAGCAAACAAGTAGTAAGCAAAAGACTACTCTATTCGATCATTTACATTGCTATTTTGTGTTCTTTTGGGTAGAATAGGCTTCAATTACATTTAGAAGAGCATAGCCTTGATGCTAGACTTCTATTCTGTAGATGAAAAGTTCGATGGCAAAGAAATACAAGATCAAATAAATTACAACATCAAATATTCACTTATATTTGCGATTTTTTTTTTCAAGAAAAAAAAATCACCATTGGTAACTTCTGATACTTCACTATGAATCAAACAGATCGAATAAAAGAATATATTTTATGATGTATAGAAATAAATGGTTTTTCTTTTCTTAATAACAAATAATAAAACTTACGAAGAACCCGCTTGACGGCTTCGACTGTAAATCGAGTTTCACCTAAAACAATGATAAATATTGAAAAACATAATTCATCATATTTCTTTTTACCGAGAAAACGATATTTTTCACTTTCATAATCAACATCAGCAATAATACCCCATGCCACACTGAGAAACGAAAAAATTCGTTGTCCATCACATGTATCAATAACAGCCATATCAAAAGGAATCACTTGATGTGTAGCAATAAGTACAGCAGATTGAACAACAAATTTTTCCATTGATGCTTCAATTGGTTGTCTATCCATATGAACTTAAAAATTAATACATATTAAATAAATTTCAAATTACTTACTTGCTTTGACGAATAATATTTGCAATAAATGCATTACCTGAACCACACGGTAAATGTCCAATAGGCAATTTCAAAGCTTCTTGCCAGTCTTTTCTACTGAAAATACCATTCATTACCTGCAACACAAAAGAATAGAAAACAATGGTTGCATTAATATACAGTAAAACTTCTCTATGTGGGTACCTCTATAACAAGGGCACCTCGTCTATATGGGCATCCGGCGGAACGACCAATCGATTTTTGCTGGAGATGAACCTCTATAACAAGGGCACCTCCCACTTCTGAGCAGTGGGCACTAATTTTAGGCCGTACTGTATAGATGAACCCCTTTTATATGGGCACTTATAGTCATCATATGAGTCACTTCAGTGTTCTTTTTTTTTCTTGTTATTCTGTGAATGACATGGAGAATAGTCTCGTTTGA